GCTGCCCCGCCCCGTGCCCCCCGAGCCCGGCGTCCCCGCCCCGCGTCCTCCCGCGCGTTCCGGTTGTCCCTGGGCCGAGCCAAGGCCCCGGACGCGGCGGCACAGAGACCGAGGGACAGGAAGGGCTCTGCAGTGGGGGCTGGAGGTCCCCCAGCCGGCCGAGGGTCGCCCTCCCAAAACGGGGTTGGGACAAAATGGTCTCCGGAAAGGGGTCTCCGGAGAAAGCGTCCTGGCGAGGCTGGCGCCTCTGGACAGCCTGCGGATTTCGGAAGTGGAGCCGGAAAGCTGGCCACGCGCCACTGGGGCAGTTCCTGAGCGCGCGACACCATCCAGCGAAACTTGGAGAGTCAGAAGGGGTTTCGGGAGGGAGTTGAGCGAGATGGGACCGCAGGGGAGCCCTCAGCCTTTGCGGAGCTCTGCATCTCCGAAGCCCGCACCCATGCAGAAAGGGCAGGGGCGGCAGGGGGCCGGGGCTCCGGACCCATCTGGACCCACGCGTGCCACCCCCGTGCCCGCACCCCGCCGCCCAGGTTTTAGTCGGCTGCTCCAGTGACTTGAAAAGACGGTATCCTCCAAGTTCATCACATGGATCTACCCTGTGGCTGGCCCTCCCGCTTTACCGTGTGAGAGGGGAGGAAAGAGTGTTTTCCTCAATCTGATACTGCTCCCCCCCCCACACACACACACAAACGCACACACCGTGGTGAAGATCCGTGTCTGGTGACCAGAGGGATCTGCCCTGTCTAGGCCCCCGGCCTGGGGACCTGGGCAGGGCCAGCTCTTTCTGTCACCCCTCCCCCGACACACACCTGCAGGACCTCCGGAATTGCCTGCTTTTGTAAATCCGGTCTCCGAGGCGCCCATCGTGGAGCACAGCTGTCCAGCAGCAGGTCTTCATTCGGGTTGCCGGGAGGCTGATTTCGCAGGCGGCCCCTCTGTGTGCCACGCATTCTTGGTCACTGAAGAAAGCATTTTCCTACCAGTAATACTTGTGTGCTCAAAGTGACCCAGAGCTAGTGAAAACTAGACGGCCCAGGAAAAAGCAATAAATACATTACTGACATGTAAGCCCGATGGACTAGCTTGTACACAGGTGTGGAAAATGAATCAGTTATAGGAATACAGGCAGATCTCAGTGAAAATGACCGAATATATGTATATATACTTACCAAAGCTATATAGAAGTATATAGATGGCAAAGCAATAGTAAATTTGGAAAGAGACCTACCAAATTCATACCTTTTGGTCCTTTTGGGAGGAGTTGAATAAGTCAAGATGGGACAGTGTCAGGAGGGATTTTTGCTTTAGTGTTTTTTTAATTAAACAAATACACTTATTTCTGTATAATTTTATAGGGTTCTGGGGGATGTAAGTGACTGGAAATAGCTAGAATACTAACAGTGCTTGACTCTGACTCAGGAGAACATTTTCTTCTTAGTATCTTTGTGTTACTTGGATATTCTCTGATGAAGACCGTGGTGCTGCTGCTGGTGATGATGAGGGTGGTGGTGATGACTCTCTGAAATAAGGACAAGTTGAATATCCTTTATCCAAAATGCCTGGATCCAGAGGTATTTCAGACTTTAGAGTTTTTTTGGATTTTGGAAAATTTGCATAGACTTTACCAGACTGAGCAGCCCTATTCTAAAAAATCTGAAATCCAAATTGCCCCCACTTCTGGAACTTTTTGAGCATCATCTCAATTTAAATTGGGAATTTAAAACTACAATAAAACAGCCTCTATTTGGGTTAGAGATAATAAAAACTGTATAGCAGAAAGTGTGCTGTGGTGCCTCTGAGGACCTGAGTTATATAAACATCGGTAACGGATACGGGTGAGGTGAAGCGGTTTCGGGTTATAAATCAAGCTGATTAGCTAGTTCAGTGCCTAGGCCTACATAATAGAATGTGAAAATGGAGAACAAACAGGAGCTCTCAGGTCACCTGTCCCACATGCAGCCCGGTTTAGGATGACAAAGGTGTATCTGGGGAGGAGCCCTGGTTGTAGGTAAGAGCTTTGGAAACCAGATACTTCAACCTGATTAATAAGAGTAAATAATGGGAATAAAAGACTTCATGAAATTTAAGGCCGCTGCTTTGGAGAAGATGCTTGGATGTTCTGTGTATCCTCTGCTGTAGTTATTTTCTTTTTGTTTAGCATTTTTTGGCTTTGTTTTAAGCTCTCTCCTCTCTCCCTAGCTTTTCAAGTTAGGAGAGAGACAGAGCAGAGGTTGGGGGTGGTTCCCCCAGGACATCCTCTGTGACCCACGCCTTTGACATCTGACAGTACAATAGCAGTTTGGTGCTGGTGGAGTCTTCAGAGGAAGATCGAGTCCTCTGCCCACACATCATACTCCACAGCTGAGGGTGGGAGTCGGGTGGGAGCTGAGCTGCTAACCTCACTCCCCAGGCTCCACCACCTGTAACCATCCCACCCCTTTGCACCCCACTCTGCAGAGCTGGAGCCAAGGACAGCCTTTGTTCATCTCTGCCTGTGCTCGGGGTGAGTTCAGCGGCAAGTTCAGAGGCTCTTGGGATCAAGCAGCTCCTCAGAGGAGCACGGAGATACACCCTGACTTTCGTCTCACTGCCTGCAAAGCATAGATTTCTGTCTCACTCCAAAACAACAGCAGTGGGCCCTCCCCGTTATGAACAGTTCTGCAGGCACATTGGCTGATTGGATCCGTACAACCACCCAAGAGGACAGGGAGGAAAAAAACTGCTGCTGCGTGGCAGCTGAGGAACTGGAAGGCTGCAAGGAGGGTCTGGAGTGGTCCTGAGTGGAGCGCTGGCCCCCAACCACAGCCTCCAAGGCCCTGCTTGATACTGACCCTACAGCCCCACCACTCTGTCCTGCGTCTTGGTCCCAGCATACTGCCCTCCCCCACTGCCCCAAGCACCAAGCACCTTGCCACCCAGAGCCACACACAGGCCTGGCAGGGCCTCAGCATGGAATGGCTTTTCTGGACCTCTGATTTCTGCTCTTCCTCTGACCAGTGCTTCTCAGACCCTAACATGCCTGTCAGTCCCCTGGGACTGCCTTAAAAAGCAGATTGTGATGACATAGGTGTTGGGGTGTCAGGCTTCCACATTTCTAACGTGCTCTCAGAGCGAGTATGTCACCACCTTTAGGCCATTTCCAGTCTCAAAGCTGATCCTAGCATTAAGCTCACTTGGTCTGCAGCATGTCTGGAGGCACTGGAGTCTCTGAGCTTCCCCGTACTTATTTCTCTGAGCTTCTTCATACTGATCATGCAGTGTCCCCAGCGTTTTCCTGGCTAGAAGGTAATCTTCAGGAGAAGAGGACTTTCGCTGTCTCATTCATGTTCGCGTTTGCAGTGCGCGGGGCTGGGCCCCTGGTGAGCACATTGATGTAAGTCAGTGACATGCCTCACGTGACCTGGAGAGTCCCAGGATTGACAGCCAGGAGGCAACGCTGGTCTTCCTATAGGAGCAATGGCACCCCTTTATTTCCTATAATGTGACAGTTGGGAAAATTTCACAGTCCACCATCAACTCCAGACCCAAACTCCAGGCAGGAGACCATCTTTCAAGGGATAGACCTGGATGTTCACAGTGATTCTCTCTCAAGAGTGGGATTACAGCTTTCTCCTTTCCTTTGGGCACCTTTTGTGTCTTCCAAACGGAATGCAATGAGCCCGCACTACTGCGGTGACTGCAAAGTAATTTGAAAGCTGAACAAAGGAAAGTTGTGTGATCCACACAACTGCATCTCTTCTGTCCCTGCAGATGGTCAGCTCACTATGCAGCTGTGCTTCATCACTGGTGCTCACTCTGTCCCAGTGTCCTCAACTACTGTGTTAGCTACTTCCTATCACTGGGACAAAACCCTTGAGATAAATCACCTGAAAGGAAGAAGGGTTCTCTTGGCTCATGGGTTCAGTGCCTGGTTACTTAGTCCCATTGCCTTGGGCCTGTGGTGAGGCAGGACAAGATAGTGATGCATGTGGTAGAGAAAGCCTCTGCCTCGCAGAGCTCTGGA